GTGTGTCTGTGTGTGTCTGTGTGTGTGCATGTGTGCCTGTGTGTGTGTTCTCACCTATTTGTGGTTGCAGGGGTCGAGTCACAGCTCCTCTGTGTGTGTGTGTGTGTGTGTGTGTGTGTGTGTGTGTGTGTGTGTGTGTGTGTGTGTGTGTGTGTGTGTGGTGTGTGTGTGTGTGTGTGTGTATGTGTGTGTGTGTGTGTGTGTGTGTGATACACCTGTGACTGCAACCTGACTTCGGGCCAGGCTTTTCTGTTGAGTTTACGTTCCACCAGGCTGTTGCTGTAGACCGCTCTCTGGCCAACGTAGCCTTCACAGCCTGGTTGATCTAACCCTTCAAAGTGATAATCGTCCACTTTCCTGGTGAATACACTTGTTCCAGCCACGAGTGTTGACAGTGTGCTCTCTGTTAGTACCTGCGGCTCCCCAGCTTTTCAATGAATCTATTTGACTCATCTTCACATATCTGTGTCGAAATGACATTGCCCGTTATAATCTATGTAAACCTCCAACTTCTCCAAAATTTACATTTGCCGTATATATATATATATCCAGTTAATATAGTATCTCTCTTAATCTGTCACAAGACAGAGTTAACCCCATAATATTCGTTCTTCTCCCTGCTCCGCATAAGACAATTTTCCCTTACTAAAAACCAAACAAATACAGTAGACCTGATACACATATGCAGGAAATAAAATATATACTAATATTCCAAATATATATTTAACATGTACAACATATATTTAGCATACATAAAATAAATACTAAAATGGCGACACATATTACGTGTACCGAGCTGAGAACGCATAGCGTATAGCACAGCTTAGATGCTGAGAAAAATACTTGTATAGCTGGAGACACTTTGGATGTGCCCTTCCACTAAGTTATTGTTTCTCATTTTTGTGGGATCAGGGGTGAGAGAAAGAGGGCACGCTGGAGGAAGAGGGAGAGGGGAGACAAAGAGGGCAGGAAGGAGGAAGAGGGAGAAGGGAGACAAAGAGGGCAGGAAGGAGGAAGAGGGAGAGGGGCGACAAAGAGGGCAGGCTAGAGGAAGAGGGGGAGGGGCGACAAAGAGGGCAGGCTAGAGGAAGAGGGGGAGGGGCGACAAAGAGGGCAGGCTAGAGGAAGAGGGAGAGGGGAGACAAAGAGGGTAGGCTAGAGGAAGAGGGAGAGGGGAGAAAACGAAGGGAGGCTGAAGGAAGAGGGAGAGGTAGACAAAGAGGAAGAGAGAACAGGAGGGCAGGTTGGAGGAAGAGAAAGAGATAAAAAGAGCAAGTTGGAGGAAGAGGGAGAGGGAGAGTGAAAGAAGAGAAAGTGGGAGACGAGAAAGAGGGAGAGGCAGTGTGGGGAAAGAAGATTGGGAAGAAAAAGAAGACAAACTGGACGAATACAGAGAAATGGGAGATAAAAAGGACAGGCTTGAAGAAGGGAAAGAAGGGTAAGAAGAAGAAGAAGAAGAAGATGATGAAGATGAAGAAGGAGAGCTAGCATAAGAATTAGATCACAAAAGGAGACATGAGAGAAACTGAAGATTCAAGCAATTATATAGAAGAAAAATGAAAATAAAAGAAGGAAGAAGAACAACAATAAAAACATTTTCATCCTCATTATCATCACCATCATCAACAACAAAACAAAAACAACAGCATGATCAGTAAGAAACAAGAAAAATAGTGTAGATTGACAAGAGAAAAATGCATTTAAGTAATATTCAAAGAACGAGGAAGACAAGGAGGAGAATGAGGGGAGAAGGAGGGCAGAGAGGGAGGGTAAAAATGAATAGAGACAATAAAAATGAGGGTTGTATAAATGCAAGAGAGAGGAAACAATGAATTAACAAGACATTGAAGGGATGAAAAGTTAGGTTAGGTTGGGTTAGGTTAGGTTAGGTTAGGTTAGGTTAGGTTAGGTTAGGTTGGGCTATGTTAGGTTGGGTTAGGTTTGATTGGGTTAGGCTGCGTTGGCCTAGACTGGGCTAGGTTAGGTTAGGTTAGGTTGAGTTAGGCTGGGTTAGGTTAGGTTAGGTTAGGTTAGGTTGCGTTAGGTTACGTTGGGTTAGGTTAGGTTGGGTTAGGCTGGGTTAGGTTAGGTTAGGTTAGGTTAGGTTGGGTTAGGTTAGGTTGGGTTAGGTTACGTTGGGTTAGGCTGGGTTAGGTTAGGTTAGGTTAGGTTAGGTTGGGTTGGGTTACGTTGGGTTAGGTTACGTTGGGTTAGGTTACGTTGGGTTAGGTTACGTTGGGTTAGGTTACGTTGGGTTAGGCTGGGTTAGGTTAGGTTAGGTTAGGTTAGGTTGGGTTGGGTTACGTTGGGTTAGGTTACGTTGGGTTGGGTTACGTTGGGTTAGGTTACGTTGGGTTAGGTTACGTTGGGTTAGGTTACGTTGGGTTAGGTTACGTTGGGTTAGGCTGGTTAGGTTACGTTAGGTTAGGTTAGGTTGGGTTGGGTTACGTTGGGTTAGGTTACGTTGGGTTAGGCTGGGTTAGGTTAGGTTAGGTTAGGTTAGGTTAGGTTAGGTTAGGTTGGGTTGGGTTACGTTGGGTTAGGTTACGTTGGGTTAGGTTACGTTGGGTTAGGTTACGTTGGGTTAGGCTGGGTTAGGTTAGGTTAGGTTAGGTTAGGTTGGGTTGGGTTACGTTGGGTTAGGTTACGTTGGGTTAGGCTGGGTTAGGTTAGGTTAGGTTAGGTTAGGTTAGGTTAGGTTGGGTTGGGTTGGGTTACGTTGGGTTAGGTTACGTTGGGTTAGGTTACGTTGGGTTAGGTTACGTTGGGTTAGGCTGGGTTAGGTTAGGTTAGGTTAGGTTAGGTTGGGTTGGGTTACGTTAGGTTAGGTTAGGTTAGGTTAGGTTAGGTTAGGTTAGGTTGGGTTGGGTTACGTTGGGTTAGGTTAGGTTAGGTTAGGTTAGGTTAGGTTAGGTTGGGTTGGGCTAGACTGGCTTAGGGAAAGATATATAAAATGAAGGTAGATACAACGAAACAAGGCATGGGAAGATATACTAAAGAAAACAGCACACAGAAATCCAGAAAAAAAACTCGACATGAAGAACTTAGAAAAGAAAATAACAGGTGAAAGAAGAGAGAGAAGAAATATGAGAATAGAACAATAAAAATATAAGAGAAGAAGGATAGAACAAAATGAAAACTACACACAAGAGAGCGTTGGTCATTACAGGTGGCATTATTACCTTGAGACAGGTGCGTGTGGGGGGAGATGGGGGCCGCCTTCCCCCCACCACCAAGGTTTATTTAGGCTAAGTACAGGTTTGTGGAAGATGGATGGTGAGCGTTTAAGGCTTCTGTGGCCGTAAATTTTTATTTTACTTGGCGTTGTATGTCGCGTCTGGTGATAAAAATCTGCGCCGAATTGCAGGAGCCAGGGTGATCCAGGAAGGTGGCAAGACCTTCCTGTACTCCGTAAAGGCAAACTAAGAGGAAAAAAACCATGGCCATCAGACTTCATGACTTAGAAACCCATGGGCATCACACTTCTAGACTTAGAAACCCATGGCCATCACACTTCATGACTTAGAAACCCATGGCCATCACACTTCATGATTTAGAAACCCATGGCCATCACACTTCATGACTTAGAAATCCATGGCCATCACATTTCAAGACTTAGAAACCCATGGCCATCACACTTCATGACTTAGAAACCCATGGCCATCACACTTCAAGACTTAGAGATGTGCAAATGTGACAAATGGTTGAAAGGACGTATAGTCAAAGGGACAAGTTCCACAACAATCGTTTTGCACCTTGCTGTGCTTTGTCATGACTACTACTACTACTACTACTACTACTACTACTACTACTACTACTACTACTACTACTACTACTATTATTATTATTATTATTATTATTATTATTACTACTACTACTACTACTACTAGTGCTACTACTATTACCTCGCTTCACTCTCCTGTCTGACTACCGCTATTTTCCCTACTTACTACTAGCTCTACAACTTCCGCTGCCAGCATTGCCTCTACCACTACTGCTCCACTTCTCTCTTATTCATTCTGTCCCGTCCCTGTCCCCTCTCTCCTGTACATACTGGCTCCCTCACCTTCGTATCTTAGTGTGACTTGTAAATGGTCCAAAACGTCCGAAACGTCGTCCTAAGCTTCTCTCTCCTATGTGCGGGTTATTTGTGTATTGTCATGACTCGATAAAGCTCTACACAGAGCAAAAACTTGTCCTCTCCTCTTTTTCTCCAGGTGCCAAATGACTGGTCGTAGTTGTAAAGTGTGGTTATATATTTCCCAAGTTCTTCAGTGAACATTAGTTGTTTTCCCAAGCAAATACAGTCAATAACAAGAACATAAAACTAAAACAACAGCAGCAGCAGGAAATATAAAATCGAATCGAGCAGAAGCTTATATCATGTCAGGTAGAAGATGATAAGGATGGAGGTAGTCGGTATATACGACTGTGGGAGCAGTCGCCAAGGACGTACGTGGAAGTAGATGACAAGGACGTACGTAGACGCTAAACGCGAAAGTAGAAGTGGACATCAAAGATGTTGGTAGAATATAAAAATGACGCCAAGGGACACAGGTAGATGCAGATAATAAGACAGTAAACAGACGCCAAACACGTAAACATGTGTAAACGCCAAGGACGCTCCACTCTGGCTGGTGTGAGTCAACAAGATCGTCCTTATTTGTGATGGGTGGAATCAGGGCTACCACAAACACTAATTAATTTTGTTTATCTTCTCTCTTTGGGACACACCTTCCCTCAGTTTCTCTCTCTCTCTCTCTCTCTCTCTCTCTCTTTCTCTAGTTCTCAGGAGGCATCACGACTATTCAGCAAGTCAGTAACTTTTCAGAGAGAAACGTTTTGGCAATATACGCACGTTTTGCACCTGTGTCCTTGTACGCTTACGGATCCAAAACGATGTTTTTTTTCATAAATTATTATTATTAATATCTTTTACTAATATTATTTCAAGAATTTTTTGTGTTCGATTATTCTAAATGAAAATTTTCTTCTTCCAG